CCCTTTTTCAGACAATGGCAGAAACATACACAGGAATACAACCAAAATAAATCGTGATGGTACCAAGCATCATTAGCCAATTTAGCTTTTTTAATACTACTAACTGAATCAACTGTTTCTTCTGTATTGCCTCAGTCACAGAATAAAGTTGCCGAGCTCTTAACATTCACTGCCCCAAAGTGGAACTCTTACAATGTGGATAACATCTGCAATTGCTTCTTATGTCTCAAGAAATCTGAGCACATCTCTAGGTCTCCCGACCTGACCCTAACCTTAGACATTCAGGCCATCCAACCATCCAACAGCCGACGGCTTAACATTTTGAAACTGTCTCAACCATCCTCTGAGCTCCATGGTAAATCCCTGGCTAGGAGACACGAAGCCGCTCTTGCTCTTCTGCTTTGGCTTTTCTTTCTTGGCGATGGTTAACGGCGGACCAAAACGTTATTTTAGTCACCGTGTTCTCCCGAAGTCGAGATGGCAACCAGGATATTTGATCTCTCAAGAGCACAGAATTTTTACCGATGCAATCCAGAGTCAGTCTGGAATGAATGAATAAATAAATAAATAAATCCAGAAGTACTAAACACTGTGGTTTACAACAGAAAGTATGCAGGAGCAACACTGTTTTAACCATGTCCATATGTTGATCTATATACTGTACCATTCAACAAAGTCTGGAAACTGATTCTCACCCCACCAGGTAGCTTAAGACGAGGAGTAACAGCTCAGCCGAGCCACTACTCTAAACTAGAGAGCAAACTTGTATTTTTTTTGGCTACAACTCCAAGAACTAGAGAATGCTAGCCCCCAAAACACACACTGGCACACTTCTAATCCAAACCATTTCTTCAGCTTCATCGCATTTCCAAACCAACGCCACGGCTCCTGTGTTGTTGTTTTTTCACTCGTTTGGCTTTGTTAAGATCATTCTAGTCTTTATTGTGCAGCCGGCAAGGGGCAGTGCCGTATTCTGTCAGTGATTTATGTTTTCATACGCGATGACAAACGGCAGCACAAACTTGGGCCTGAAAGCCACCATGAGGCTGCAGTCTGACAGGCCCTCGCAATCCAGGATTTGTGCGTCAGCCCAGGTTCAGACATACACATCGTGCTGTGTAAAAGTTTCCAGAAGATCAGTCATGTTGGTATGTGGCAGCAAACCCGATTTTAAAGAAAGCCTACGACACCCAAAAGATTTAGCCGTTTTATTCGGCTTAAGCTTCTCTGGACTACAACTCATGGAAGTGCTCTGAAGCTAACAAGTACACCACTGGACGACCACTCCAGTGAATTTAAGACCCACTGCCCTCTGCAGAACATAATCCCCGGCTCCTTTTCTAGGCAGGCAAATGCAGTGAATACAAAATGCACCTGCCACAGTAAATATGATATTTCTTCTAGATTCCCACAGAAGGCATCTGGGCAGGCACTCTATATAGAAAGCTCGGTAGGTATCAAAATCCTTACATGCAGAACCACAACAGCCAGCTGAGGAAAATTATTTCTTATGCTTTGGAACAGAACATCTGCTAAATATTACATATCGTATTCTTATTTAATTTAACCAGAGTGGTCAATAGACTAGATGGGTGGGATATAAATACAATATGGAAATAAATAAATAAAATTATTTGTCATGTTTTCTCAGCTCACCTGAGAAGGGAATAAGGTTGTGTCTGAAAAATCAGCAAATCACTGCAATGTCCCTAAGCAAATGAAAGAAAGAAAAAACACCAGAAAATTTTGATTATTTACAGGGCGATTTTCTACAAATGCATCCAAAGCAAGATACAAAAAAAAAAAAAAGGAAAGAAAAACGAAAAATAAAAAAAAAACCAAACAAGAAAAACTAATAAAACTAAAGAAAAATCAACCACACTAGCAATGAATGGCAATAGTTAAAAACCCAGAACTAAAACAACTTTTTTATCAGCTTGTCAGAATGCCAACTATACATTCATTCCTGTTTCTGTGAGAAGTAACATGTATATGATATGTATTAAAATTACTGAAAAACAGAAAGGAAACAAATTTTTAAACTGTCTATGTTTGTGGAAATGGCCAACGTATTTTGAAAAAAAAAGTGTTAATTCCTTTGTTAAGGAGAAACTCACAGTTTATATAGTCTGTTAATAACAGACATCTGGCAATATGATAAAAGACACTTTGAAAAGTTTGTTTCTCTGAATCCTTTGTTCTGTTTTCAGGGCCTTTTCCTTTTTTCTTCTCCTCGAGCGTAAAAAGGTTAGCCAGAGTGATGGTCAGAAAGCAAGAAAGAGAATTCTCTTTCTGGGTCTCTGAGACTGATGAAGGTTAAGAATAAGAAAACAGAAGCCAAAGGACCTGATTTTGTCTTACTGAAATTCTCTGCCATAAAAAAATTAAACATTTTACATTATAGTTAAAAAAGTTACTGTAATTGGTAGTAATGATGTCATTTAACAAATACTACATTAACTGACCGTGTCCATGAAATGCAAGTCATCTTTACTTCCTCCAAAAATCATCACTTCGCCTTCCTTACCAAGACAGGCAGTGTGCCATAACCTAAAAAACAGAGCTGAAATGAATTCTTAAGTAATGGGAGACTTCAAAAACTTTCAAATACCTGTTAGGTTTTATCACAGAGGCATACCTATCAATTCTGTGTTACAGGAGACCTCCCCCTTAAATTGCAATGTGGGGAAAACACATATTCTAGAACACAGTGTCTCCCGGAACATTAATCAGCTAGCTGGATAACCAGAATAGGATCTTTTAAAAATTTAGAACATCAGCCAAGACTTGAAATCATATTCGACTTTCACTACCTACCATGAGTGGACTTACTCAAGAGTTTAAACATTTACAATACATGCAATTTTAATTCTTGAAATTTCGATTATAATTCAGTGCTTGCAATTCTAAAAGTCCAGATCTACAAGACAGAATTTAATACACACAAAGCAAACACAAGAGCTCTTTCTGCCTTGAGAAAGCAGACTTCAAGATACTTCTGCAAGCACAGTTTATAATGGGCTTGACCTGAAAGTTCCTATTCTTGATGGCCACGGTGCACATTGACGTTTTAGCAGTTATTCAACGTTGCCCCCAAACAGATGGCATAAACATCAGAACAGGAAGGGTGTGAGCGTGACAACCCTTAAAATCAAAGTCACCTCGGAAGATTCTTTAGTTTCTTACTCATCTTGACCTTCATGAAAACCCACTTACGAGACGCAAACTCTGCTTCTTTTATAGTAGGCAACACTTGAGAGTTGGGGATCCCTGGGCAAGACTTAAGTCTTTCTTCCCTCCCGTGACCCTTATCCTCCTGGCCTTCTTACGATCACTGTGGGAAGCAACTCATATTGGCTTCAGCGTCTGTGCTTCCTCCCTCCCTCTGCAGGAATACGGACTGGCACTGGCTTGATTCTAACCCATGCCCCACAGTCAACTGTAATCCCAGGAATGGGATGCAGTTGTCCTCAAAGAATCAAGCGAATGGAGAAGTGCGGAGATGGAGTTTGCTTAAACAGTATTTCTGAAAAGAATAGGGATGGGGGTGGTGGAACATGGACAACACACACCGCCCCCCATTGTGTCCAGAGGCCCCCTTTCCACATAGTTCAGCTGCAACAGCGGGCTTCTCTTGCACCCTGCCACCCAAGATGTGACTGAGGGCCAAACAGCAATAACAGCGGGAGCAACCTGGGGCCCTCTGTTCTTCCATCCCCTGCTCAGCATGTTTCAAGAAGGTTTTTACTGAGTCTTAGTTATTTCCATTTCTGAGTTTTAACACAATCTAAGGAAGAAGTGTAGAGGTTTTTTTGCACATGCTAGTGCAAAATAAGCAAAATGGGTCTGCGTAGACACAGGCCATGGAAAAGGCAGCCAATTCATACAGGTCAGTGCCAATAATTTGTGTTATGAGGGCTTTCCTGCACCGAAATGGATTTTATTTGGGGAGTTAAGTGACAAACCAGAGCTCACGGTGATCCCCAGGGCTGCTGGATTTCCCCCCACCCCTTTTGTTTATTCAGCTACTGTTAACACGTCTCAGCACTAAAAAGCACTTAATTCATTCATTTCAGCAACGACACACGGTTCTCCTTACACTACACTTTATCCCACCTGTTCTCTTCCTCATACCTGTCGGTGGGTCTGCCTCTGTCTTATCTGCATTAGGAAAATTCTGGCCTTGGGTGGGGTCATCGCCGAACACTGGAATGTCTTTCCTGCCTGGTCTCTGTTCTGTGCCTGGACTCCTAGCTTGCAACCTGATGCTTTTTTTCTCTACAGACTGACCAGAGTTATGTCCTCTCACAGCTGCTCTAACTTAGCACCTAGACATTCTAATAAAGCATGTTATTTGCATCGTTAATCAACGACATTAAAACCATCTTTTAAAACAAACCCTCCACCTAGAACGATAGTAGCTGTTATACGTCAAACATTCAGAGATATTACTGAACTCTATTTCAAGGATTCTTTGTGTGTGTGTGTTTTTGTGTCTGTCTGTCTGTGTCTCTCTCTCTGAAGGCTGGTGCTATGCGAAGGGATGGGGCACAGCCCAGAGGGAGCGAGGAATACACCAGGGAAATAAAAAGATGGCAGCCTGGCAGCCACAGGACAATAATGTAGATGCTAGCCATGTTTTTATTATTATTATTAAAAATGTTCCACAATGTTATCGAGGTCCTTTCTGGCAATCTACCAGCTCATCTCAAATATCAGAAGCACAGCGTAGACATAATGCTGCAGATGACCTAACCACAGACGGGAGACTGTAAATTTCCCATCAGTTTGACGCCCCTTCTTTCTCACTTTTCCCTTTTTGGAGGTATCCATCGTGCAGTAGTATGTCTGCGTCCATCTTCAGTTAAAAGCAGGTTTGCAAATTCTGGTTTGGGTTAACCTTGGTTGAAATGAGTATCAGTGAAGACTTAACACGGCACCATGGTCTAACAAAGTTTTGGCATAAAGTTAGTGTACATAAAATCAATGCTATAGTACACCACCGGGGGGAAAAAAGGACGGTTTATCTGTAAAAGTGAAGGAAAAGGGACTACTAAGACTGAAGCATTCTTCTAATAACCAGGGCTAAGAGATATGGGATGTTACATCTGCATCAGGATAGAATAATCACCCTGTGTCGCGTGATGAACAAACATGTGTGAACCAAGCTTTCTCAAAGCAAAGCATGCTTTGGAAACGGCTGCCCAACCTTCAGGTCTACAGGGGCAGTTTATCACATTTGCTTTTACTGGACACATTTAAACTTCAGGGTGTAGGTTTTCTGCAAACATCTGTTGACCTGGTGTTTTTCTGTTCCTTAGTATTTTAATGTACGCTTTCATTTCTTGTTTCACTTTAAAAATATTTCCATCTGCCTGTTGTTCTAAATAATCCCAAAGCAGTGTACGATATAAAACGTAATAAAAACAGGACAAAAATCTGATACAGAATAAGAGAACAATAAAATGCGGAGTAACAGCTCCTCTATATACATTGGCCAGGAAAAGCCTAAATAAAAAGGTGTGTCTTCAAGAGACAAGAAAAAGGCATCAGAAATAACACTTTGTTTGTGGCCGAGAGGAAAATGCTCCAGGCTATTACTGTGGGGTTTTTGGACCCTGTAACGGTAAGGCCTGCTCTGCTGACTGTTGTGATCGAATGGGAGTATGAAGCGTCTGTGTGATTTCTCAGGTAACCTGGTCTCAAGTTGTTCAAAGCTTTATAAGTTACCAACAAGACTCTGAAGGTTCTCCAGTAGCCAAAAAGGGGACAAGCAGAGTTTCCTCAGCAAAGGTGTTAATGTGTGTGCATAGCTCTGGTGCTCCAAATTAAGACCGCCCCATCATTTTCTGCAAACAGCCACAGGTTCTAGAGGTGAACATCCAGGGAGGCCTAATTGATAAGCCCCATCCAACGGTTAGTGATGGGTGCTGGAAAAAACTCACAAGGAGGGGGAAGGGGCTAGCCCTGTCTCCGCTATCATCCTCTCCAGCAGTCTCTTATACCGAGTGGGGGGCTTTCTGAAGCGTTCCCATGAGCCACATCCCCAGTTTTCCAGGGTTCTAATTCAAGGAGAGACACACACCCCATGGATGGCGCAGGCGAGACCTACCGACACCCCCCCTCTACTTGGAGAGAGAATGGAACTGCGTGCAGAGAGGGGTGTCTGCCACGCTGACTAATCCAGCAACTCCACATGCTTAATTAACAACTGAATAAAGCCACATGGCAGGTTGCTGTCATACAATGAGGCTTCCTATATGTGAATCATGATGGCCAGAGGTTTCCTTTGCCACAAAGGTCACCTTTGCTAGATCTGGAATTATCCAAAGCTTTGCACCTGCATCTTCAGCAGAGACACAGCCCTCTCCAGAACAGGCCAAAAAGGGACTCACCCAAAGAGTCTTTGGGTGACCACAGTTCAGCTTCAATCAGCTGGCCAGCCTCCCTCATGCTCCTGGGTCTTCAGCAGAGACACAACCCTCTCCAGAACAGGCCACAGACTCACCCAAAGAGTCTCTGGGTGACCACAATTCAGCTTCAGTCAGCTGGCCAGCCTCCCTCATGCTCCTGGGTTATTTATTTAAACCAGATTCTTTTATCTGAATCAGGGCTTTATTTACCCTAACCGTCTATCACTTGGGCCAGGACTCTGCCAGTTTTGCTGAAATCGTTCCAAATAAATGCATTAGAATGGAAATCTGAACGATCAATAAATGCCAGTCGGGTCTTATGTCTTTGAAAGACTGTAATTTAGTCAAATGTTAAAACCTTAAAATTCTTCATAGTAAATTCTTCACAGTACTGACACTTATTTGGTAGAGTACGGAAAATATTTAAACATGTTAACGATTCAGTTAGACACACAGGCTGTTATTTCAAAACACAAGCTTTAAAATGTGCATGTTTCAATTTTTAAAAAAAGAATTAGAACAGTTTGGATCTTGTGAAATGTGAGCAGATTTCTAGAGACCTTCCTGCCATCTCCCTCTCACGATGGGATTCCTCCCTCTCCTTGTGTACTTCTGAGGGGCTCATGGGAACAGCGTTTGATCAATCCCTCCACCCCAACAAGAAGTGCCTTACTACTTGTTCAGGACGCTACTGTGTCTACATTGGCATTCTGATCTTGAACATTTCAGAATGATCTATTCATACTTTCCTCAATTTCCGCAAATTTTGACGAACGTTTTTATACCTCGGTATATTTTTCGGTAAGTAAGCAAGTTGTTCCCATTTGTTTGTCGTAACGACATAAATCCAGCCATCACCTGAAAAGAAAGACAAATACACAGAGTATTACTACTTCCCTTTGTTAATTATCTCTGATAATTCTAAGTGACTGTGTATTGTTTTATGATGAACATGAAAGAAATGATGCTGAACATAAAAAACTGGTGTACGTTTGGGCAGGAGCTGAAGAATAGCATGTGTTTAGCTTACTCATGGAGAGGTGCAGTCTTTTTTTCTTGCTTTGAACACCTGACTTTCAGGCCACATGATTACTAAAAAGTTAAAATATATTTTTTAGAAACTCACGCAGTTTCTAAAAAATATATTTGCCGTATGACTCAGAGAAGCTTTGCTATCTGAGAAAAGCTACTCATGGAAAAAGTTACTTATTTGGGGGGCTAGGACTCTCCAAACTTTCAAAAAAAAAGCTAGACTCCTACTGATCTTTGTCTCAGGCTTGCATAACTTGACGTGGCTAATTGGGGCTAACAGATGTGCCTGATCATGCACCTCCGATGCACACTTACCACTTCATTCCTGAGATGCCATTAGCCATGGCAATGCAAACTTTACACAAATATGAATAGGATTCTGACCCCAGGAGTGTGAAAAGGAGAAAATTACATTGAATATAACGGGCTAAACCCGACATCATGAGAGGGAACCTCCACTCACACAATGGAAGACGGTCGTTTTAACGGTGTAAGGGGGAAACCACCTGGTGTTTGATAAAACCAGGACAATTCTTGAGTTGTTTTCCCTTCAACCCGTTGTTGTGCAAAGTGCCAAGATGTGGTTCCTCCTCCCATCAGTTCCATCAGGAAACACATTGTAATCTCGTTCATTCATTACGCCAGTTGTCTGTTACTTGCATTCTACTTTGCATAGCAGCTTCGATCCTTCTGAACAAAAGCTACTTACTTAAGGGCACATTGTCTGAACTCAGCCCGCCAAAGAGGAAAAGCCTGTCATCTGTGATAGGTGTCAAAGTGTGCCACGATCTGTCTCTTGGTTTTTCTCCATTTGTACAAATTCTAAAAGAGAAAAGCAGCAAAAACCCGAAATGAATATATCACGTGACAATGGCTGAAACCCAGTAGTACGCTGCAACTAGAGCACACCCACTCTATGAATGGCATGCACAGAAGACTTGACTGACCAAATCCCTACGTATTCAGTGGGCTGAGTCTAGTGGTGGATTACAGACATTAAGTTTATTATGGAATCACTGCCACTCAGAATCTTATTTTATGCATTCTTTTATTTATACTCTGTATTTTGCCCAAGATGACCAAAGGCAGCTTACAATATTAAAACAGGCTATGTTTAAAAGCTAACCCCCCCATCCATAAATTAATATTAAAAAAAAAAACCAATTTCAACGGTATCAATTTCAAACCAGTAGGTAGAAATGGTTTAAAACAATTTTTAAGACACACTAAAAGCATGAAGACATGGCATTTGAAAGCTCCCTCCCTCCCTAGGCAGCCAGATACCTGCTGGTGGAAGGTGAGCAAAAATGGAGCCAGCCTGGCCTCCAGTTAAAGAATTTTAAAAACACACTAAAAGTATGAAGACATGACATTTAAAAGCTCCCTCCCTCCTTAGGCAGCCAGATACCTGCCGGTGGAAAGCAAGCAAAAATGGAGTCAGCCTGGCCTCCAGTGGGTGGGGGTTCCACAGCTTGAGAGCATCAGCAGAGAAGGTCACTCTTATGTCCTTATGAAACACACCAGTGAGGGTGCTGGGACTGAATCCGGCACGTATGTTTTTATGCCAGAGAGATAGCTGAGCGCAAACTGCTTCCTGAACATTCCTCAACTGGCAAAATGACTTGAGTTTGAAGGCAAACATTGGACAACTGCCGCCACATTCCAACTGGCTATTGGAGAAAGCATGTGCTGCACCACTAAGCCTGACTCTCAGCCCCTGCCAAGTAACAGGCGGCCAGCTCCCTATTTTTGAGAACTTATTTGCTTTTCTGCAGGATGATGGTCTTAGGAGTCTCTTCTGGGGCAAAGCTTTGATCCCTGAAAATCCCAAAATCTCCCTCTTTTGCTTGGGTGCCTTCCTTGTCTCTCAAAGCCAGAAAAGCAAAACGTAAGGGATCAGGATGCAGATTTAAGGCAAAAGCACTCTGATTAAGAATATCAGACCAACGTGTAACCTCAAACCTGTGATGTATTATTATGACAGAACAATTAAAAAAAAATCAAACTATGTTTAAATGGAACTTTTCTTAGAAAGACAGCTAGATTAAAGTTTGCCACAGTAAAAATTCCTTATTATAATTATTTCTGGCCCTGCTTTTTAAAAGTAACTAGAGCATTCTTCCACACCGGAATAGTTTGGAGAAACATCAAACTGAGATTTCCACACAATCTAAAGAAATTTGCCTATAATCTACTTTGATTTGTTACGATGTCATCAAGCAGCTTCTGAAGTATGGCATCCCTCACAAGGTTTTTGAGATACATGAGATGTTTAAGGAATGGTTTATCATTGCTACTTCCAATAACTTCTATGGCTGAACTGTGATTTGAACTTTGGTCTCCTGAGTCCCAAGTCCAATACCCACCGTACTGGCTTCCCTTCTGCTTATCACCACAAAACCACTGTTGTTTCAAGTCTCCATTTTTAATGTCTCCTCTCCTAAGAGCAATTTTTAGTACAACTTTCCATAATGAAAAGCCACGGTGGAAATATTCAGGACTGAATTACAAATACCATTAATCAGAACAGTTTAATAAAATAGAACATGAAGAAAAACTTACTTTCCCGACCAAGCCCAGGTGTCTAAATTCAGAGAATGTAAATCGTTCATTCTTGTTTGCTGTTTTAAAGAAAGAAATTGCAAGAGGTGAATGTGATGCTACAGGGAGATTTTAAAAGGCAGCGGACCACTACACTACTCCATCTGAGAACTCCTCACAGGATGAAACTCCCATTCTTTCATTTCAGACTGGGCTTGCCATGGATTAAAGCAAGCGGAGAGTTCAAGTCTATTTACCTTCACACGGAGTCACTGCGTTGTGTACACAGATATTTGCACGCCTTGGAATTTAGCACAAGTGAGGCAAAAGGGAACAATTATCTCTGTTGTTAGTGAGTAATGGACACAGAGTTTGGAATCACTGGCTTAAGTGCTTAGATTTAAAAGACAAGGCCCTTTCTTCTACAAAAAAGGCTGCACCCAGAGAAATCACCAGTTCATCACGCCTTCCCTCCTTGTGGTGCATGATTCTTCTTTCAAAAAAACAGAAAAAAGCCATGCAAAACTATGCCCTTCTACATAGCAATACCTCAGTATTTCATGAAACTTCTCCTCTTTCTTTCTTTCTTTCTTTCTTTCTTTCTTTCTTTCTTTCTTTCTTTCTTTCTTTCTTTCTTTCTTTCTTTCTTTCAAAGAGATAGACTGTTCCTCTTAAGGCAACTTCCTGCCCCCCCCCTCACTTTTGAAGAAAATAAACAGATATAAATACAAACCAAAACCCGTCCTCCAAATACGTAGCCTCTGTTTCCTAGGACTGCGCATGAATGGGCTGCTCGAGGCTGAGGGGGAAGTCCATGCTGCAAAAGCCAATGCAAAACAACACAAGAGAGCTCAGATCGCTGGTCGCCGTCCGAGACGTCAACAGAGGAAAAAGGAGGTTGTATCTGGACTGTATCTGGATGATCTCCAAAGGAGGCAGCTGCACACATAGGCCGACAACACATTCATTTTATAGCCCTCCCAACTTAGTGAAATCACCACTCAGGGTGGTTTAAATCACATAAACATGCCATACACCAAAATTTTATAATAATCCAAATGCCCTCACAGTCACCTAATCAAACAATATTAAAAGAGGAAAAGCAAGACTTCAAAAATACTTACTTTAATTGTGGGCTGATACCACGTTCGAGTCGTTGTATCAAAAACGTGGACATCATTGTGCCACCCCCAGAATATCTGACCTTCCTAAAGGAGGAAGAAGAGCAGAAAACAGAACCTCTGCTATGAAAAAGGGTAACAAAAGAAATGGAGGGTAACATTATCAAAGGTTGCCAGTCATGACCGCTGTGTCTTACCTACAGCAGTGGTTCCCAAGTCTTAGGTCCCAACAGGTTCTTGGACGGCAACTCCCAGAAATCCCAGCCAGCACAGCTAGTGGTGGGGAAAAGGGTTCTGGGAATTTCAGTCCAAGAACATCTGGAGATCCAAGCTGGAGAGCCACTGGAATACAGTCTCTGCCTTTGAACGCCAGTGGCCTGGGAATACAAGCAGGAAAGGTCTACTCATGTTCTACCGATGGTCACCCCACAGGGGCACCTGGTGGGTCAACGAGGGACAGAACATGGGCCAGAGGGACCCTCCCGTCTGGGCCTTGTTAGCTTCTGATAAAAACCATTGATTATGACATCTCTTACCCAAAATGCATCGTGTACGTCAAAACATTCGCTCAGTTCGCTTTGTTTCCTGCAGCCATATCCACCAAAATAGATTAGCCTGAGGAGACCAGAATTAAAATGGTCAATTAACTTATTTTCATTAAATTCAAAGGATTCTTTCAGTTTTACCAGATTATGTTGGAATTCTTCGGCACTACCTGTCATCATCTTTTAAGTTTCCTTATCTGCACCCCTAACCCTAAATGTATAAGGAGCTATTGGATCAGGACCTGAAGATAAAATGTTTATATTACCTATGCTTTAATCAGGGTAGATAAAAAAATTGATGACTTTTAAAGAAAAATCAAATTACTTAAATCACAATTTAAATGAAAAACAGGGTTTTTAAAAACATTTATACTGTAAAAAAAATCCCATTTTTTACATTTAAATTGTGATTTAAAGCAATTTGATCTAAATCAAATCCACCCTCGGCTCTAATAGATCACTTGAGAAAATAGGCAAAGAGGAATCCACACTGAAACATTTTTAAATTAATTTTATTCCTCCCAAGACCATGATCCGTGATGCTCTAGAGCAGTGGCTTCCAACTGTGGGTCCCCAGATGTTCTCAGACTGCAATGCCCAGAAATCCTGGCCAGTCCAGCTAGTGGCAAAGGCTTCTGGGATTTGTAGTCCAAGAACCTCTGGAGGCTGCAGGTTGTGGACCATTGATCTAGAGGGTCCCTCCTGGCCAGGCACTTCTAAGAGGATCCTAAGACGCAAGACAGCTTCCCCTCAAGTTAAAAAGCAGTTTAACCAAAATGCAGGTTGTGGAACACAACGGGCTCGCCTGCCAGGAGCCCAACAGCGAGGGGACTATCCCTTCACAATGTTTTATTGTGATCTTGGCTCTACAGCCAATCCACCACTATCCTCCTCCTCCTCCGTTTCTTGAAGTCTGAGGAGCAAAGCAGAGATAAACTGAGAGAAGCTGACAAAGGCACACACTAAATGAGAAGTTGAAACTGTTCACCAGCCATCGCCACCTCCTCATTTCTGAAATCACGCATGACAATTACCTGTCCATATACACCCAGCAGGCAAGTTTGTCACGTGGTGTAGGAGGCTGACCTTTAAAGTCTGTGATTTTTTTCCACAAATAGGTTCCATTTCTTGACCGCAAATTAACATAATAGAGCTTAAAAGGAAAGTAGAACACTTTCAACATACAGCAATAAATACTCTGGGAAAATGAAGTGCTAATTGCAAAAGTGGTGAGTATAAATAACAACCAATAACACTCATTCCTTTGTGGTTTGCAATACAGTGGTGCCTCGCATTACGACGTTAATTCGTTCCAAAAAATTTGCTGCTAAACAAAAATATCGCAATGCGAAAATAAAAAAGCCCATAGAAATCCATTAAAATGCGATTAATGCGTTCCTATGGGCTTAAAACTCACCGTTCAGCAAAGATCCTCCATAGCACCACCACTTCTGGTGCCTCTTAAGTGAGGAATCCTTCCTAGAAAACAGCGGGCGGCCATTTTGTTTACCCGGTGGCCATTTTGAAACCGCCGATCAGCTGTTAAAAAAGCATTGCTTTGCGATGATTGGTTCCCCAAGCAGGGAACCGATCATCGCAAAGTGAAATTCTCCCATAGGGAACATCAGCGATCGCTATGCGAGCTCCATCGCTATGTGATTTCATCGCTAAACGGAGCGATCGCTATGCGAGGCACCACTGTACTCTTGGTCCAACCCTACAATCTTATTTTATTGCATAAAGCACCTTTAACTTTTTATGGAAGGCTTTTGTATTGTATTTATACAGTGATACTACCTTTGAATGGAGGCCAGGGTGAGTTCTCTATCATGAAAAGGCTTACTAGCCCTAGAGCAGTCTATCTTCTTTATTATTATTATTATTATTGCCTGATATGCTAAGCACGGGCTAACAGGGCTACTTCTTCCAAAACTAGTCCCATTAAAGTGGAGCTGATAGCAACTTGCAAGCTTGAAACCTTTAAGAGGTTATACAACTGGAGAACCACCACCTTATATCAGAACAAGTACTGATCAGGTGGAAATTCATTACACGAAGAAGAGGAATCAATTTACTGGTCCCCTTATGTTAAATGCCTGGGTGTTTTTAAAAGCCAGTTAAATACTTGGCTATTCAAGCAGGCCTTCCCTCCAATCAACTAAGTCTTTCTTATTTTTTCCTTTCTTATGCTATTCCATCTTGGTAATCCTTTCTTTAAATTAAGTGTTCTAATTGAAACTGTAATCTGTAATTTTTATGATTTTATATATTTTTACACTGTTCTGTTTTATTTAAGCCGCCCAGACATGGTCTACTTGGGGTAAAAATCCAATAAATAAATAATCAAACAAACAAACAAACAAACAAACCAAAGTCTTTTGGTTCCAGCTGTTGGGAATCAGATCATCTCAACTACTTCTTCAGCAAGACCAACTACAAGTCTAAGAAGTCCAAATGGAGAAGTAGCAAAATGTGAACTTTCACTGTACTATTGGCCATAATCTCTCCAGAAATCTTGGGGTAAAAATCCAATAAATAAATAATCAAACAAACAAACAAACAAACAAACCAAAGTCTTTTGGTTCCAGCTGTTGGGAATCAGATCATCTCAACTACTTCTTCAGCAAGACCAACTACAAGTCTAAGAAGTCCAAATGGAGAAGTAGCAAAATGTGAACTTTCACTGTACTATTGGCCATAATCTCTCCAGAAATTATTTATAGTACCAGTTCATCTTAAAGGACAGAAACTGGTTCAGGTCCTGATGGGAAAGGATTCTTAAACGCCTGAGTGAATAAATTCTCCCGGCCATCCTAAGCTGATACAGATGTTGGCTGAAACCTTGCTAATTAGCTTCAACTGGCCACTGCAAATGGTGCAACTGTGCTACCACACGTGGGAAAAAAAAATACAGTGGTGCCCCGCATGATGACGATAATCCATTCCAGCAAAATCGCTGTAAAGCGAAATTGTCGTCATGCGAAAGTAAAAAAAACCATTGGAATGCATTAAAAACCGGTTAATGCATTCCAATGGGGGAAATACCTGCTCGTTTTGCGAAGATCTTCCATAGGGGAAGCCATTTTCGATCGCTGTCTTCCAGAAATAGGTCCGGAAAACAGTGGGGAGCCATTCTGAAAACTTGAGGATCAGCTGTTTCTAATCGTCATGCAGCGAACCATTCTGAAAACTCGAGGATGAGCTGTTTCTAATCGTCATGCAGCGAAAAAAACGTTCCCAAAGCAGGGAACTAGTCATGGTTAAGCGAAAAAAACCCATAGAAGCATCGTTTTGCGATTGCTTAACTCATCGTTAAGCGATTTCGTTGTGAAACGGGGTCATTGTCAAGCGGGGCACCACTGTAAGTGTATCTGAGGCTGGAATCATTAAGGGCCTGGCTACGTTCAAAGAGGCAGCATACTCAGCAAAACTCTTTGGGACCCGAAATCAATCTTTATGGCTCCACCTGCGCCAGGAGAAGCTGATACCATGCTCTTGAGATTGCATGACTAATATAAATTATTTCTAATGCATCATTTGAACCTTAACAGCTTTGGTCCCTGAAGTTTGTGAAAAGCCGAAGGAACCCAGTACCCGATTGCTGTATCCTTTGTCGTCAAATCCTCCAAAGAGGTATAGCGTCCCATTAAGGCAAGACCCGCAACTTCCAGACATAGATGGAGGCAAGTCCCCTTCCATGAGGTGCATCGACCTGCAGTTCACCAAACACAAGAAATCTCATCAGTTTTCTTGGAGAGTAAAAGAAAGAAGAGTAAAACCACCTCAAGCGGCAATGCCTTCACTAAATGGGGAAAAAAACAAGTTAAAATAAGATATTACTCTTAGGGATGGGTAACATTTCAATGTGATTTAAATATAATGCCAATTTTATCCAAAGAAACAGACATTTAATAGAACAACTATTTAATATACTAACTCCTACAATATGTAACTTAAAAACTAAACAGGAGATGATGTGCTTGTTAAGACAAGTGAAATTACCTCCCACAGGATGTGCATCTGGCTTCCTCTTTAGTGTTTTAAAATGGGCCATGAAGACCTAGTTCTGCTATACAGTACTGTATTTATTGGAATACAATAGCTGGTTTGTCATTTGTACTGTGTTAAATGGGTACTGTTTTACAATGTACACCATTTTTGTGAACTAATTTAGAGGCCTTTCAGCCCTAAACAATGGCATAAAATTACCTTAATAAATAAAACCAGTAAATATACTGTAAATACCTCTTATTTATCAACAAAGTCTTATAAGGTCCACATAAAATACCTTTGTCAGTAAAAGATGGCCTAAAATTGATGTCTAAAAAGCTTCCTATGTTTTCACTCTGGGTTCCAAACAGTACTTATAATTGGATTAATTTCTATTTCAGCTCATTAAGTTTTTGTTGCTTGTCTTCGCTGTTGGTTTCACTGTTCTTATATAATAGCCAGAATCTAATTGACGATTGCATAAGGTTCACATACATTCCTGTGCATCATCATGGCTAACTGATGGGGTGCTGGAGCCCATCTCAGTTGCACAGTCAGGCATATGACCAAGCCATGGTCTGGCACCTCACAAATTAGTTGCAAATAGCCACAATAAGTATAAAATTTTTACACAAATATCAATAGTATTCTGGCCATTATTTTAGACAGGCATTTGCAATTTGTGTGCTTAGTATTTACAACAGGTGGTGACCTTAAATGTGTATTATTTAGGAGCCACCTCTGGTGAAGGACAAAATATAAATCACATTAACAACAACAACAACAACAACAACAACAACAACAACAACTATTATTATTTTTTCTTAGAATTATTCTGGGATAACAGTCTGGCACTAAGCAGCCAAGAAAGTGAATTTCAAAGATTTTTATCCAAGGATATCACAAAGCTGCAGAGGAGTTGTTTCCAAAGGATCAGGTTTTTAGGCTCATAAATGTTTTCTTACACCAAACGATAATAATAAAAGAGATCCATCTAAAATACTCCTGTTTATAACTTCTGGTGCATGTTAAGCACCAGAAAAAGTGGGCTAAAGTTCATGAAAGCTGATGCCAAATAAAATCTGTCCTTAAGATGCTAATTTTTTGCTCTGTGTACTCTGTAGGTACCAAACCTGTGATAATACCAAGACTGCTTTCAACATTTAAAAATAAACAATATGGCTTACCACAATCCACTCTCCATCTCATAGATCCAAAGCTCATCATTAGGCAAGTAAACTTCATTCTCTTCAATTGACTGCCCCCAAAAGACACACATAATATCTCATTAGGTCCACTCAAACTGCATTTTGTAAGGTGCTTTTCATTTCAAATCCCAGTACATAAACAGCATTATCTCCCCTTATCAAGGATTTTTATTTATGGAATGTATTTGTGGACTTGGTGACTCCAAGGGCCAGCTGTTTTGTGGATGAAAGCCTTGCTCACAAATGGGCAGCAACAGAAAGCGGTAGAGCTGTGAGGTGGACAAAATGCAATTCATACTGTGAACAGGAGACAGCGTTCTTGGCATGGCTATAAAGTATATGGTCTCTTTCTCTTTCACAGACTTGATTTAGAAAGAAAAACATTTAAGCAAAATGGTCTACCTTCTTCAGTGGCTCTGGAAAAAAGTCCATTATGTATGTGTCTGCAAATCTCAAACAAATAAACTAGCATAGCAAGAAAGTGGTCTCATCCAGACCACCCTGACTGTTTGAAATTATTTTCCCTAGCGAAATATTCAGTAACACCTGAACAGTTTGCTGTCCTCTGAAGATGCCGGCCACAGAGACTGGCGAAACGTTAGGAAGAACCACCTTCAGAACACGGCCAAGAAGCCCGAAAAACCCACAACAACCACTCTCCAAAGAAATTCAGAAGGACGCCCCCAAAATATGTGTCCTTTTAGAACCTTGTCTGTATTCTGAAAAAAGCAAAATCCACTTTCCACCGCAGGGGGAATCTCATTTCTGGCACGTGCAGGCCTCATCTTCTTTCCAAATGGACTGATTTTGGCCACAGCGGGCATGTGTGACTACACTGAGTACAGTGTGAGTTGCTTCTGTATATACACAGACACAAGACTAGGCAGCAACACAACTGTTTTGTAAATTTAAGGAAGACAGACAGCCATGTCTCCCTCAGGGTTGTGTTGAGCCCAAATAAAAGAACATTAACCTCTCCAAAGAAATTCAGAATGACGCCCCCAAAATATGTGTCCTTTTAGAAGTTCTGGTAAGTTTCTTTTTAACCCAGTGTTCTGAATTAATTATTTTACGCATAGTTTGAACTCAAAGTAATAAACTGAAAGAATGACCGTAATCTTGCTAGATTTCCTCACGCTCCTGTCTGGACTGAATACTCTTAACAGCTGTGTAAGAGAGACAGTTAACAATTAAAACTATTTTTTTTAGCATTAAAGGGAAAGAATGGAAAAGCTAATCTTGTGTGTCGCCTGCAACATCTGCATCCCACCCTTTGAGATGATTTCATGTGCCATCATGTTGCCTCCAACCCTGTGAACGAGTGACTTTCAAAACGTCCCCTCCTCAACAGCTCCTCTCAGCTCTTGTAGACTCGAGCTCGTGGCTTCCTTGCAGTGGTGTCCAACCTTGGCCCTCCAGATGTTCTTGGACTTCAACTCCCAGGAGCCTTCACCACCACCTCTGCTGGCCAGGATTTCTGGGAGTTGACGTCCAAGAACATCTGGAGGGCCAAGGTTGGACACCATGCGAGTCAATCCATCTCGTGTTGGGTCTTCCTCATTCCCTGCTGCCTTCCTCTTTTCCCAGCATCACTGTCTTTCCCAGAAAATCCTCCCCTTCTTATGAGGCGGTCTAAGGATGTGAGCCTCTGTTCCAACAGTTCAGGCTTGATTTAATCTGGGATCCCTTCCTTTCTCTTTCCTGCCCTCCAGGAAAGGACAGCAGCCCACTTCCTGGTTAGCCAGGTTCTTCACCCACAGACTGCAAAAGCTTCTGCACATGTTCTTCTTCAAGGTGCCACATCACTGTTTATTTTTATTTTATTTTTATTATCAGACAGCGTGTGTGCTGTGAACCATTCAGAGTGGCCCTGGCAGCCAGATGGGGCGGTATAGAAGTCAAATACAGTACAGTAAATAAAGCAAGCAAGCAAGCCAGCCAGCCAGCCAGCCCTCTCATTGAGCCATAACCCACAGAACCTCAAGCTGAGTGGCCCTGAAAAGCGCCACAGGTCCGAGGGACGCAAGAGGGCCTGCTTGACTATTTTGGGGACTACAGTTCCCAGAATCCCCCGCGCTACAGCCCCCTGCCTCCCTCCCCCGCTTCCACGGGGATGCGCCAGAGCTCCGAAGGGTGGGTGGAGTGTAAGGAGGGGCCCGCGCGCTGTTCCTCCTCGAGGCGCCAGCGGCCAATCAGCGACCGAGTGGAGGCCAACCACACCCTCCCCCACTCGCCTCCTCCTCCCCGCCCCGCTCGTGAGGCGAGAAGGTGTCTCTGGCGCCTTCGGCCCGGGAACGACTTTCTCTCACGAACCGGCCCGCCCACCCCACCCCATTCCCTCACGCCGCGGGGAGTGCAAGGCGCGACCGGTCTCTCTCTCTCTCTCTGTTCTGCCCCCCACCAGCCCCGCCCGTTACTCGCCTTTCCACCCCAACCCGCTTACCACGTAACCTCCCCACACATAAAGGCAGTCCCCGTCCACCACGGCGCAATGGCCGCTCCGTTCCTCAGCCACGCAGAACTGCTGGGGCAAGGGAGGAAGAGGGAGCCCCTCCGCCGCCATCTTCGAGGGGTGTGTGTGCGTGTGTGCCGCGGCTCGCCGTTCTTGTCCCCTCAGCAACCGCGCCCCCTGCCTTCGAACGCCGCCCGCCTCCCTCTCGGCTTCCCCCTGGTGTGGACGTGAAGCGCGCCGGAGGAGGGGCTGCGACCTTCTTTCTCTCTCTCTTCCACCCACTCCCCTTCCTCAGGGACCCCCGTTCGCTCGCTCGCTCGCTTTCACGCCCGGCAAGCCGCGCACCACTCCGCCCGCCCACAGCAGGGAGAGGAGAGGCAGCCTTTCCTGGGACTACAGCTCCCAGAATCCTTCGGTACAATTTAAAAAGGGGGTCTACCAAGGTGGCTATTATCCAAGTTTATCTTGACATGACGACCAGCCCTCCCGGCGAAGGGGTTTCTGGGAGCTGGGCTCTCCGTCAAAAATAAAGGGGCCTTTCCCACTCGCGACTCCTCATTTAAAATAATTAAAACCCCTGCGTATTTGTGTGAGATATATGTCGATTTATCATCAGCGTCTTATCTATCTGATAACAAGAAAAGCAAACCTAAAGGATTTTTTTAAAAAGGGGGTCTACCAAGGTGTCGCCTAAGTGCATTTAGGTTTTATTTAGTGATGACCCCAGGGCAGCCCTTTCCTTCCGAAGGATTCTGGGGTCCAGGTGTCATGGTCAAGTCCTGCTCCTCTGGATCCATTCCTGCTGCTGAAAAAACCGGGGAGGGCGTGCTTTTTGCAGGGGGGCCACCTGCAGAAAAAGCCCCGTTCTCTCGGTATCCTGTCCCCCTAAAAGCACCACCCGGGACGAGGGTGCAAACCCCATAAAAATCCTAGGGCTTCTTTCTGCCTTTGGGGTCAATCCCACTTTTCCCTCCATCAAAGAGACCCCCCACCCCAGGAAGCGGGGGGTCCTGCAAGCCTGCAGAGAAAGGACCGCGATGTTGTGGTTCAGTACCCTAAGAAAAAAAGGGGGGGCATGAAGACTCATCTATTTCCTTCGGTTTTGCAAGAGGTAGCCGGGCTAGTGTAGTCAGTCCAAAACAAAGGCAAATTTTAAAAAATGACAAACTTCTTATTCGTGTCCCACCTTCTTATTCAGAACATGTTGTATTTAAACCATTAAACCAAGTTGGATCACTCAAATATCAGGGTATTAATAATAAATCATAACTCTAACACAAATTACAATAGTATTTTGCCTGGCCCAATGCTGTTTTGGGCACGGAATAGGCTGGCAAAGTGGGCACCGCTGCATATTTTACCATTTTGAATAAGAAGCTGGGGTTCTGCAAGGGTTAATGAGCCTTGGGCAACACTCAAAACGGCGTTGGGCAAGGCAAAATACAAGTGGGTCATATGTAAGTGACCCCCCTCTGTCGGTTTCTGGTGTGAAAGTTATTGCCCAAGGCTCGTTAACTCTTGCAACACTCCAGCTTCTTATTCAAAATGGTAAAATATGCAGCGGTGCCCACTTTGCCAGCCTATTCCGTGCCCAAAACAGCATTGGGCCAGGCAAAATACTATTGTAATTTGTGTTAGAGTTATGATTTATTATTAATACCCTGATATTTGAGTGATCCGGCTGGAGGGAACCTCCTTTTCACCAGCAGAAAAATTCTAAATATTCATATACTGTGTTGGGTGGATATCCTG